AAACCCCTTGATCTGTCCTAGAAGACCCCTCACCTCTTACTTGTCTCCTGCTAACTTGCTCTGCTCCACACATACCACTTTTCTCTGTGCCCTGATGTCAAGCTGCCTTCCACCTCAGGACCTTTGCACTTGCTGTTGCCTTTTCCTCAGTTTTCCCCCTGGCTTCTTCATGACTGACTCATTCAGGCCTCAGCTCTCAAAGGCTACCTCCTCAGTGAAACTTTTCCTGACTACCTCCCTCGAAGACACCAGCCTATTTCATTTTCTTCAGGACACTCACTCTAAAACAGTCTTGTTTGTTTGTTTACTTGTTTACTGTGTGTCTCCCCACTAGAACATGAGGTCCTCAGGGGCAGCCACCCCTGCCTTGTTCACAGCTGTCCCCTTGGGGCCATGAATAGGCACCTGGCATATACAAGGTGCTCAATAAGGGCTGGATGAATGACTATGTTATTCTAGTCATTTCACTAGAGGAAGCCCTAAAGTTTGGAGGGGGGGCAGGTGGTATGGGCAGAAGTGGCCTGTCTCTAGCAGGAGTTCTTCTATGTGCCTCCTCCCCCAAAGGTGACCCTGCCACACGGAGCCCAGGAAGTCCCAGCGATTGGGGCAGAACACCACAAACCGAGACCCACCCAACGGGGAGCAAAAACGACCTCTGCACATTCTGTTACATCCCATGCTACTTCTTCATGTTAAAATGTCAGGATAGATGAGCAACAGCAGACCGCAATCCCGCAGTTGTGGGGCGACTGGGATGCCCCAGCCCGGCTCCTGGACTCCAGGGCCTGTGGGCACACTGACGACACACCTCCAGGTGTGGTGGACCTGGCACCCACTGCCCCTTCCTCAAGCAACAGGATCCATCTCTTCCTCTTGAGGACTTGCCCTCCCCCATTCTCAGGTCACATGGTCCAGGGGGGCTGACCCTACCTTCTCAGGGGTTGAGGACACTAACTCAACCCTGGCCGGTGGGAGGGTTTTATCTCCCCGGGTACAAGTGGCTGCAAGTCGAAGCGGGCAGGCGCCCATTTTGCCTGCCTCAGAATGAAAAAAGAGACAGACCCCTGGGGCCAGGCCCCGTGTTCCAGACTGGGTCTCTTCGGTGATCTGAGCCAAATATCCCCTTTCCTTCTTCAGCCACCTGGCATGGAGTTTGTTCCAGCTGCCACCCCTCCTAGCCCATCCTGCTCTGTCTTCCACTGCTGGCCCCCGACCCCCCACTCCCAGAGCCCACTGCACTCCTCACATTATGCTCCATGCCTGGAACAGCTTTCTCCACTTCGTATACCCAGTAAACTCCTACTTGTCCCTGCTCAGGTCAGATCCCACCTCCTCCAGGAAGCCTTCTCTGATTCCCTCAGACACAGGTCACCTGTCTTCTCCCACACTCCTACCACATCCAATAGGTTTCTCTGGGAAACCTGTACTCACTAGGTCCTGCCCGCCTAAAAGATTTTGTCAAGCTTTATATGCCACAGTCATATTATGAAAATAGGGATTTTTCTTTTCTCTCCAAATACAAAATGATGTTTTAACGGTTAATGTAAATTTTCAATCAATGCCTACCCCTACCCCAGACATTCTGAATTACTCCCCCGGAGAGATGTCTTCTCCACCCTGAATGAAAAGCTGCAGCAAAACATCCCTCATTGATTCAGTAAATATCCACGTGGCCCCTTGGTGGAAAGCATCGTGCTGAGCGCTGGACACACAAATTATAGAAATGTGTTATAATCATCCCGTTCTCTATACGAGTTAGGAAAATGCAGGGAAGGTTCCTGCCAAACGGTTTAGCTGACATTACTTTGGAAGCTGGCATTCGAGGGACAGATGGGGGACTCTCCCTTAGTACTTTATGTAATTTTTAAAATGACAGGTCTAGGGGTGTTTTTGACTTTCTTAGTATTGTTCAAGTAAAACATTTCTTAGTGGTTCGTTGGTGTGTCTGTTTCCCTAGAAGACTGGGAGCCCTGAGGGGGCAAGGAAGCATCTGAGTCATTCCTAAGCCTTTAGCCTCCCACCAGGGCCTGACACACGGGAGGCCGGGAAATGTCTGAAATGACCACAGGACAGAGCGGAGTGGGCATGGGAAGCAGATGGGTGGGCGCAGGACACGGGCTGAGGAAGAGAGGGTCAAGCCCAGGGGTAAGACAGCTGGAGCTGCAGTGGGCAGCTAAGGCAGGAGGACTGTGGTACCCACTGCAGCTGGTCGGCACAGTGCCTAGAGCTCTTGGTTGTACGGGATAAACATTTGTCTGTTAGGGAAATGAGGTCACAGGGTGACAGAACTCCCAGAAAACAACCTTGGCCAAGCTTTGCAGTTGCAAAAGGCAGACCCGAGCAGATGGGAGCTGGGGAGGGAGGAGCGAGAGGAAGGTGTTGGAGGAGGCCTTGAGAATCAGTCTGGGCCGGACAGCAGGTGGCAGGGAGCTTGGAGGAGGTGGTTCTAGGAGTGTAAGAACAGAAGGAATGCCTGCTGCTGGCCTGCACGAGGCTGCTCTGTCCCTCCTCCCTCCCTGGAGTCCCTGTCCCTTCCACAGACACTTCCTCGGGCATATGTGGACTCAGCACTGGTGATTAGGGCCAGAAGCAAAGGAAAAGGGCTGGGGGCCTCCGGAGAAGGCAGGAGGCAGGAAATCAAACCAGCTGGAGGGAGGGAAGTCTTGGAAGACTTCCTGGAGGTGTGGACTCCCAAGCTGAGCCTTAAAGGCTGAAAAGAAGCCGTCCAGGTAAAGGGAGGGAGCCGACTTCCAGGCAGACAGGAGAACAGGAGCAGGGGCGGGGATACTTGAGACCTGGGGGAGGGAGGAGTCCTGAGCGCTGGGGTTGCTCCGTGGAGAGCTGTATGTGCTGAGAGGCACTCCCCTGCTGCTGGGATCTCTGGGGGGTGGTGCGGGGGGGGGGGGGGAAGTGGGAAGGATGGCTACAGGCAGCAGCCCCAGATCATGCGGTCCGAGCCCTAACTCCCAGGCTGCTCTGCCCCTTGGGGTGACCTCACCGGGGATGAGGATTTGTGGATTCAAGGAGGTCACTGTTAGCCTGCTATAAAGGCAGCACCTGCCAGACTCTAGTTACAGTTACCGTGGCGAGCCAGGCACCACGGGGCTAAGTCTGGAAGAGCCATCACAGAGCAGTGGGCACAGATTGTTCTGTGCGTCTCCGCAGAACCAGGCCCAGAAGCGGGAAGCTCTAAGGAGGCAGACCCAGCTCAGCGCTAAGGACAGTCTTCAGTGGAAGCGCTGGTCAGTAGTGGAATGGGCCCATTGGAAGCTGAACTCTGTCAAGGGACAAACTTGTGGGCACTGGACACCTTCTCTATGTAGACAGCGTCTGCCCCCGGGGTTTCATGGAAGGCGGTGGATAGAGAGAAAGAAAAGCGATCCAAAGAGCAGTCATTGTGGGGAACACAGGGTTAAGGGAAGTTAAACAAGTTTCCTTGCTGCAGGACTTCTCAGGACCTTCACTGCGCTGGTACATGGGCCACAGACTCAAATGCTTACGGAACCCAGGCAGATAGCACAAGTGGGTGACAGGGAAAAGTGTGGACGGAGAGAGCAGGCCCAACAGGAGGGGATGCTCTGTTCTACCTACTCTGTTCCACAGACTATCCTTACAGGAAATTTGTGGGCCACTATCTTGGGTTGAACTGGGTCTCCCAAAAAGATTTGTCGGAAGTCCTAACCCCTGGTGCCTGTAAACACAACCGTATTTGGAAACATGGTCTTTGCAGATGTAATCAAGTTAAATGAGGTCATTAGGGTCCGCCCTAATCCAACAACTGGTGTCCTTATAATAAGGGGAAATGTGAACGCAGAGACAGACAGGCACAGGCCGAGGATGGTCCTATCACCAAGGAGGCAGAGATTGGAGCGATCCATCTATAAGAATGCCAAATATTTCTGGCACTACCAGAAGCTAGAAGAAGCAGAGAGAGATTCTCCCTAGAGCCACCCAGTTTGTGGGGCTTTGTCATGGCACCCTGGGAAATGAATACAGCCACGAACTCATGATTCAGTATATGCCAGAAGTCTCCAGAATGGCCAGAGCAGATGCAGCATTCCCTGACCCAGTGGCCAGGGGCCCCTTTTCTGAAAGAGCATCTCTCACTGGATACGCCAGAGCACACATTATAGGGCGCTGGCTCAGAGTCTCAGCCTTTCCTTCTGGGCCCACATGGGCACCATTCCACGGAGGTGACTCCTCGTTTCCTCAGCCGGAAACTCAGGATAATGGGCCAACCTCCCAGGTGGCTGGGAGCCCTCAGTGAGATACACAGAAAGTGCTTAGCCAGGCACACCATCACATGGAGGACATCCTCCCTCTGAGCATCAATTTACCCCACGGAGACACGGGTGGCAGCATCCCCCGTGGCTTCCTGGCACATGACCAGCCTTCAGAAGAGTCCACAAAGACCGGTCAGCCCCCTGCACATCGTGCTTCTGCGGGCCCTGCGCTGGGGGCTGCCTGCCCCCCAGGGCTGCCCTTACCTGTGCTGTGAGCTGGATGGGCTGGGAGAGGGTGAGCTGTGGGGTCCCAGGGGGCTGGCTGGCAGGCTGTGGAGGTGGCAGGTCGCCCCCCCCAGAGGAGGCTGGGGGCTGTGAGGTCGAGGAGGAGGCAGAGGAGGCAGAGGAGGAGGAGGAGGAGGAGGAGGAGGAGGCGGCGGCGGCGGCAGCGGCACTGGATTGTTGCACGGCGGCGGCCAGGAGCTGGGCCTGGGCTTGCTGCAGGAGGAGCTGCTGCTGAGCTGGCATCAGCGCCGTGAGCTGTGGGGCGCGGGCGGCAGGGCCAGAGGAGGGGCGGGGGCGGGGGAGCAGAGAAGGCAGAGAGGGGTTAGTGCCCGAGCCAAGCAGGGCAAGTCCTCCAGGAGGCCTGAGGAGGGCAGGAGGAGGGCGTGAGAGCGTGGTGGTGGCCCTGGCGGGACACCCCCTGCCACGGGTCCTGTAACAGGTGGGAGGCGGCTGGTCGAGGCCCACGTTCCCTGTCCTTCCCCGAGTACTTACCCCGGCTAGCTGGCTGCCCGTCAACATGAGTTGGGCCTGGGGCAGATGCGGCTGAGCCGGCTGGGGGGGCGGGGGTGCTGCTGGGGCTGAGTCGCCACTGGGGTCTTCAGCCTTGATCTGGGGGGGAGAGAGGCAGGGTCCGGGACCCCAGAATGTTAAGTGGAGGCCAGAGAGAATGCCCACCTGTGAACCAAAGAGAGGGCACGTGTGTGGCAATGGCAGCCTCGGGCCGGCACAGGAGGAGTAGGCTGGGGGGTGTAGAGGCAAGGCCCTGAGCCAACCGACTGGGGATCTTAGGCCCCCCCTCTGTCCTCAGGTTCCTCATCAATCAGTAGGGCTAACACACCCCCCTGCACCAAATAGGAGAGGGGCACCTCTGGAGAGCAGTTTTCCCCTCTGGGGGGAGGGGTCAGTTTCCCCATCTGTAAAATGGGGAATGTGCCAACAGAGGACTCGGGGCATCAAAGAATAGCGTTCTGGGTCCCCATCCCTCATCTGCTTTATTTTTTTTTTAAAGATTTTATTTATTTATTTGAGAGAGGGAGACAGAGAGAGAGAGAGAACACAAGCTGGGGGAGTGGGAGAGGGAGAAGCAGGCTTCCCACTAAGCAGGGAGCCCAATGCGGGGCTCAATCCCAGGACCCTGGGATCATGACCTGAGCCGAAGGCAGATGCTTAACAACTGAGCCACCCAGGCGCCCCTCCCTCATCTGCTTTAGCCAGAGGTGCATCTCTCATTAGTGAAGTAGGACTTCATTGGAAGAACGGGTCTTAGGTTATGAAAAAAAACCCACCGCCTTGGAACCTCATGATCGGAATTCAAATGAGTATGGAAAGAGGCAGACAGTGCAAATGGGTGGCATGGGCAGACGAGGATGAGATGGGCTGGCGGCATGTGCGGCCCTCCTGAAGGTGAAGCTTGCCCAGCTCCTCCTCTGCTCCCACCAACCACTCATTTCAAAATCTAAAGCAAAACCCAAAAACAACCTAAAAAAAAAAAAAAAAAGCGTGCCAAAAACTCTGGCAGGACCAGCCAAGCACATACATAGGCCAGATATGGCCCAGAGGCTGCCAGCTTTCAGCCTCCACCCCATAAGGCCCCTGAGCCCCTCCTCATCTCTCTGTGCAGGATGTAGATGCACCTCGCATCAAATACATAGGACAGACCAGCATAGAGCAGTCCTGGCCTTCCTCCTCTCCTAGACAGAAAGGCCAGACCACGGTGGGCTTGCTTGAGAGGTTGGCTGGTAAAGGACATGTGGGGCTGGGGGGAGGCATGGCTTGCAGAATCACACTCTCGGGCCCAGAGGGGACACTGGGCTGAAGGACAATCCCTAATCCTTCAGCCCGATGTCCCAGCACCATTTTGCAAAAGGGGGTCCAGAGAGGGAAAGTGACTTGTGCAATGTGACACAGCAGCTTGGCGGGGGGTGTAGCATTTGGAATTCAGAGATGAACAGAGCCCTGGAAAAGGCCAAATCACAGATGGTGAGTGGCATGCCCCAGGGAATAGAGACAAATGTCAGAAAGTTTACGGGATACAGGCATGCAGCATCCCCTGGTGGGGAATCGAGGGCCCCTGGAAGTCTGGTTGTGTTCTGCCTCTTGATCTGGTGTGGGCAACATGGGTGTTCAGTTTGTGAAAATCCACTGAGGATCACTGCGTGTGTCACATTCCAATTAAAAGTTAAAAAACAAAAAACAACCAACATGGTGAGGATACTAGTCCTCTTTCAGATTTCTTTCATTCCTTCTGGTTCTCTTGAGAAAGCCTCCACTAGGTGCTAGGATGGTTCTAACGTCTCACCCCCAACACTGCTCATCTCCCTTTCTAACAAATGAAGGAAAGACCTCAGGCTTAGACCCATCAGCAGGCAAGAGTCTCTGGGTGCATTTTAATAATCATTGTGTTGGGGCACCTGTCTGGCTCAGTCGGTGCAGCACAGATGCTTGATCTTGGGGTCGTGAGATCGAGCCCCATGTTGAGTATGGAGATTACTTAAAAAAAATAATCATTGTATTTATTTCCATGGCAAGAGATTCTGGGTTTCCATTCATGAAATTTCCATTTAAAAAACATTTATTTGAGCTGCTGAAAAAGCAAGCCAGTTCATGAGCTGAAAATTGTTGAAGCTGATAGATGGGTACCTGGGGGCTTATTTTCATGATACTCTTTTTTTTTTCTCCTTTTGTATCTGCTTAACATTTTCCATAATAAAATGTTCTTAAAACTGAAGCCAATTAACACAATTGTGATGTAAGTAATTGTACACGGTGGTGTGTGGATGTGTCTGAAACCATGACGGGAGCACATGAATCACTGCAGTTGGGGAAAGCAGAGGCTGCCCTCGAACAGGACGAGGTGTGGACAGAGGCCCGGAGTCAGAGGTCAACGCCCTCTCTGCCTCTGGTTTTCCCGAGGAAACAGGGTCCAGGCCGGGGAAGGGCGGCAAGGACCCTTTCTTCCCAGGGCTCCCCTGGTTTCCCCACAGAGAAGCAAGGCTGCCGTGGGGCTGGGAGAGGCTGCAAAGACACAGCTGAGGAAGGAAAGGGTCGGGACGATGGGCACTCGGTCTGCTCTGAGGCCTAAGGCCAGAACTGCGCCTAAAATCAGAGGGAAGGAGGCCAAAGCCAGAGCCCTCCTCCCCTGGGCCCTGGCCAAGTCACTCAGTTCAAGATACCCACCCACTAAGCTGCATCAGGGCACCTGAGAGGCCATCGGATCTGACAGCCCCCCATGTTAGAGAAGAGGAAACCGAGAAGCCCAGCGGTAGTGGGGCGGTGGGGGGCGGAGGGGAGTGATTTTCCCAAGGTCATGGAGTAGTTCCTGGCCCCCAGCCCATCCCTTGCAGAGGACCCCTCTGCCCCTGCCCTCCATGCTGCTTTCAGGCCTCTGGGCCTGCGGCTGCCCCCACCAGGCTGGAGCATGGAGGCCTGGGCCCCAGACACCTCAGGAAGCCCAGCAGTGCCCAGAAACAGGCAGGGCCCCGTCTGGATTAGGGATTTGTTCTGTCTGGCCACTTCCAGCCTCCCCATCAACCTCAGCCATCCTTCCTGAGTCTGCCCTCCATCCCATACCCCCCTCTACTGGATGGCCCCTGAGTGTGTTGGGGGGCAGGGGGTAGGGCAGGCCCCTGTCAGGGAAGTTGGGATGGGGGCGGGGCCCTCAGCTTCCTGTTGTTCATCGCCCTGGGGCTCTGGGGGGGATTTCCCTGGCCACCCCCACCCCCCAGGGAAGGGGAAGGAGCCTGGGTGAGTCACAGGCCTGGGGCGGGAGCCCAAGTGTGAGAAGGGGCGGGAGGAGCCTTGTCACCAAGGTGTTGGGGCTCCGTGCCCCCCCTTCAGGCCCTGGGCCCACAAAGGTGTGCGGGACCCTCTCCCAGATGCCAACCCATCACAGGACACCCTTCTCGTTCCCCTGCCCTGGCTGTTCTGATAGGTTCTTACCTTGGTGCTGGGGCCAGTTGGGGACACGGAGAATGGGGAGGTCTTATTCTGGGGGTTCTGGGAAGAAAAAGTTGGGGTGGGGAATGGGAAGAATGAGGTGAAGCAGCTTTTGACACTGTGCCCCTCCCCCCCCCCCCCCCCCCCCCGTTCCCTTCTCCCCCTCCCACCCTTCCTGCTCATCCACTCCCTCCTGACCTGATGGTTAGTGTCTGGTCCATTTCTTTCAGTGTCTGCAACGAGAGGGAAAGAGTGAGTTGCCACCTGTGCCCCCCACAGCCCCACAGCTCCCCCCACCCCACAGGCCCCCTGCCCTCCCTGCTCCCCTCCCCACCCACCTGTGTGCTCTGATGGGGAGTCCAGACCTTGCTTCTCGGCCTCCAGGGGCTTAGACATTCTTATTTCTGGGAATAGAAGAGGGATGTAAGTGGGGTGAGGGAAGCCTGGGGGGCTCTCGGGCCCAAATCCCCCGCACCCCCTGCCACCTTGTAAGTGCCTCTTTCCAGGAGACATGCCCTCCTTACTGGGCCTCTGCCCTCCTCTGGCAGGACAAGAAAGGGATCCTTTTCACCCCTGCAGAAGGTGGCACGGGGAGGGCCACCTCCCGTGAGGCCCTGGGGCAGGGTGGGAGGTAGCCGGTGGTCGTGAGAAGGCTTTGGTGCCCAGGAGGAGGTGGGTGATGTTCCACAGGAGCAAGTCAGCCTCGGGCCTCCTCCCGAGGCGCGCCCGTCCTGCCTCACCAGGTTTCGGGTGAGACATGTTTTCCACTCTGAGTGGGGCCTGGGGGTGTGAAGGGCTGCAGCATCCCCAAAGGAGTGAGTCTTCTCATCTCTGCGTGGGATTTGGCGCCCTCTGCCCCTCCCCCAGCCCACAATGTTCCTGTCCACACCTGACCCCCACCTGGCTTCCCGGCCTCCTTTCTCACATTCAGCTCACAGGCCCGGCAGCCCCACTCGCCACTTGGAACTCCGACTCCAACACCACCTGGCTCTGCCCCTAACCAGGTCCTCGGACTTACTCCTAGGCCTCACCCAGGACTTAAGCCTTGAATCCCCACTGCACGCCCAGATCCAAGCCGGGTGCCCCAGCCTACAAATGCAATCCCCTGCTATCGTCCGGTAAACCCAGGACATGAGGAGAGGGGGCAAACAGCAAGCTGGCCCTGGGGCCACAAAGCATTGCTCTGCCCTCACAACACTGTGATGCTGAGGAGGGAAAGGTGAGCACTTACCAATGCTGAGCATAGTGTTAAGTATGATTCAGAGCTCACAGTAGCAGTTGGTGCTAATATCACCCCCATTTTACAGAGGAGGAAACTGAGGGCCCGAGAGCACAGTGAGACAGCAGAGGTGCCCCGATTGGACACCTGTCTTCATGACTCCAGAGTTCCCGCTTCTAATCAGGACTGCTATGGTCTAGTGGGCCCCCTGCTGTGACTTCCACCCACCTTATCTCCAGCTGTCACCCCTACTCAAGTTCACCCTGACTGACGCCGACTCGAACCCAACCCTTTCTGGTCCTACACCCCACACAAACCTAGGCTTCTTCCCTAACCATTCTCAGTCCCCTTACGCACCCTGAATCCCAACTCCCACCCAGATGGTACAAGTCCTTCATCTAACCTTGACTCCCGGCTTGGCCTCAGACCTTACTCGTGACCCTGATTCTGACCCCAAGGTCTCCCCCACCACTCACTCCACATCCCTACCTAAACCACGATGCCCTATCCAAGGGGCTGTCCAATTCAAGCGCGTTCCACACCCAAGATATTGAAAGAAGGCCAGCTAACAAGAGCTAGGACGTCCTCAGCAACTGGAAAAAAAAATGTCCAGGAATTTTGCAATTGAGGGTTACCCGACATGAAACGCTGCTCTGGTTTAAAATTCTTGATTAAAAAGCCGGGTCACACACTGCTCGTGGGAGTCTAAATCGATATAAGCACAAGTCAGGAAAATTGACTAGGTGCCCCCTCCCTAGGACCCAGCACATCCACTCCCGAGCATCCTGGGGAGACAGAGGAGCATCCTGCCCCCCAAACCCATGGGCACACAGCAGCCCCTTCCCCAAACTGGAAACAAGTCAAGGGCCTATCAGCGGATGGACACAATGTGGTATGTCCATACAATGAGACGCCCCACAGCAAGAAAAGGAAGAAACTCCTGCATCACACGCACCACTGAATCTTGCAGGCACGACACCAAGGGAAAGACATCAGACACAAAAGCGGACAGACAGTAGGATTCCAATTACAGGAAGCTCAGAAACAGGCAAGATGATATCCGATGGCCAAGGTCAGATTATGGGTAACGTCTGGGGGCTGCTGACGGGGAATGAGCGTGAGGAGGCCTGCAGGGGGCTGGAAATATTCGGTATTGTCATCTGTTTGGTGGTTATGTGGTTCTATACATAGGGAAAAATGCATCAAGCTGCACCCTTAAAATCTGAGCACTTACTGTAGGTATGTTTTCACATAAAAAAAGAAAAAAATTGAAAGCTAAAAAAAAAAAAAAAAAGCCAGTACACAGTACTATTAAGGCATAGGCTGGCGAGGGTGGTGTGGGGAGCAGGGGCCCAGGATGCTATAGGAGCTCAGGCCCTGCTTCTAGGCACTAGGATGGTGGTGAGTGGCTAATGATCATTTGAGGCACAGGAGGAGGGCCCAGGTCCTAGTCCCAGGTAAGAGACCACACTCCTGACTCTGGGACATCAAAGGCAGGAGTCCTGCCTAATCCTGCCTCTAAATGGCCCAGAACTTGGCCCAGCTCCTGGCAACTGCTGATGCTAGTGGGGTCCTGCATCCCACCCCTTCTAGCATCCCTGAGACCCCTGCTCCAACCCCCTCCCCGGTCCCTCCTCCCAGCCAGTGTCCATCTGGCCCCATGGAGATCCTTCCCACAACCTGGCCGTGAACCTTTCCACAGCTCCCCATCTCCCCAGGAAAAGCCCAGATAGGGTTTTTAAAGAGGTAATCAAGTTAAATGAGACCATTAGGGTGGGCCTTAATCCAATATGACTGGTGTCCTCATAAGAGGAGGAAACTGGGATGACATAGACACACAGAAAGAAGCCCATGTGAAGACACAGGGCAAAGTCAGCCCTCCCAAGCCGAGGAGAGAGACCTCTGAAGAAACCACCCCCACTGCCACCTTGACCTTGGACTTCTAGCTTCCAGATTTCAGGAAAATTAATTTCTGTTGTTTAAGCCACCCAGTGTACAGTAGTCCATGACGGCAGCCCTGGGAAAATAATACAGCCTCCCGCGGCCCTGCCTTCCCACTGTCCTAGCCCTGAGCCCACAGGGCCGTGGCCTTCTGTGTCCCTGTCCTTTCCCACCAGACCAGGGAGCAGGTCTGCTCTGACTCACTGCTGGCCCCCTGGTGTCCCCCAGCTCAGAAGAGTAGGTGCTAAATGTTGGCTGAACGTCCCTCCCTGCGGCTCTCTCTCTACTCATTCCTGCCTCGGTCTTGCTGTCTGTCTCCCTCCTCCTGGAAGGCTGTCCCCCACTCTGTCTGCCTGGCAACCTCTTACTCATCCTTCAGGCCCCAGCACAGGCTCTGTCCTCTATGACGGCGGCTCCCTCCACCCTGGCTCCCGCTGGCCCGGCCCTCTCCCCTGGCTGCAGCCATCTGGGCCCCAGTACGTCTCCCCCGTCAGACTAGGACCCCTTGAGGGCAGGTCTGACTCATCTTGGGGTCCCCAACACTGCCCAGCCCAGGACGTGTGGGTTGAGTGCACAAGGGTGCCCCAAGGCTCTGATCTCCCTCCTCCCTCCAGGCCTTACTTAGCCTCTGCTCTTCTCCCTACCTGGCGACCTTTTCTTCTCCATTAGCAAACTCCTGCTCCTTTTGAAGGTCCCAGCTCATACATCACCTCCTCTGTGAAGTCCTCCCTGACTCCTCAGGTGGCTAGTGTCTCTCTCATCTGGGAACCCCCTGCCTCTGCCCCCTAACACACCCTGACCCCCTGGGCAATGGATTCCCCCTGCCCCAGACTGTGAGTTCCTTAGAGCCCAACAGCCCTGGCTGGGACTGTGTCTTTGGAATGAATGAATGCATGCAAGAATCCCTAACAGACCAGGACCCAATCTTGTCCCAGACAAGCCTCTCTCCCTGCTGCTACTCGCCACCTTGACCTTGAGCCCCAATCCCCAAGCAACTCCAACCTAAACCTTTAAAGTAATTTCTGCAGGGATAGTGGCTGAGGAGGCAAAGGTGGCATGAGAGGAAATCTCCACCACTCTGTTTCCCTTGTTCTCCCCAATTCTTCCCCCCACCCCGACTCGCACACAGCCCAGGCACCCCTGCAGCATTTGGCTGGGTCGACAGCAAAATGGCCAGTGTTGCCCTTCGCCCAAGCCTGTCTTGCTTTTCTTTCCTCCTGCCCTCATCAGAACCCAATCTGAGAAAAGGGTGTCATATCATCCCCACCAAGGATGAAGAGGGGACTCCATTTCCACCACAGATCCAAAGCCAAATGATGCCTTAACATCTAAGGGCATTGGCAATCCCCTTAAGAGGCCTGCTGAGGCGCCTGTCCTGCAGGCTGTCGGCCTTGGCCCAGGCCCCTCTCTCTTGACTCTAGAGAAACACTGACACCTATCCCCACCCAGACACTCTGCTTTCAATGGGACAAGGGAAGACCTGGATATCTGGATTTTGAAAAGCCCCCACCCCTACCCCCACCAGGTGATCTAATATGCTCCAGCTCCCTGGCGCCTTCCGAAGCTCATCTCAAGGCCTCGTTCACACAGAAAGGCTGCTTGGTTATATGACCATAGTCACCCCTCCCTTCTCCCATCCCAGGTGGCGTATAACTCTTTAGAGGGCCAGGCAGGAAAAAGCAATGCAGAATTCTACCGGGCCCCTTGAATCCCACCATCCTGGAGTCAGACACACCCAGGGCTACCCACACCCTTGGGGTCACACTCGCTTGCCCCACTGCCTCAGGCCTGGGACTCTGGGTCCCCTCCGCCCTCCCCACCCCTCCCTTGCCCCTCCCTCCCCGGACTTTCACTTCTCCTCTGCATTTCCCCCAGCCGGTTTTAGCAGACTTGGGCCAGCTTCTCGTTAGCACTTACCGAAAATGGGGCTAAATATAGAGGGCCCAAGGGCTGCCCCTCACCCCTCCTGGCCCCTCTTGGCCTGTCCCCTGGGTCTCCTGCCTTTAGAGCCGGCTTCAATCAAGGCTGCAGCTTGGGAGCCCCTGTGGGCAGTGTTTGCACTGCCGGGAACCTCTGTGGGCCCAGCTGGCCCAGTCCCTGCCTCCCTAGAAGCAGCACCTCACACCCCCACCGCACCACATCTGTCCCTGGGTGGCCTCAAGGGAGTGAACACTTCTGAGCTGTCAGGAGGGAGGGATGGAGAGAGAGGCAGCAGACACAACAAGAGAGGGTGGCCCCACAGCTGTGCCGGCAACAGGTAAGGGCTGCCACATCGCACACACACCACAGTCTCAGCCAGGCAGGGCTCAGACAAGGACAGAGACCCACAAACACACACAGGGACAGGTGTGCACAGACCTCAGGCAGGAATGGTTGTGGAGAAGACATACGCCCAGACACAATGACATTGGTAGAACACACACCCAGACATGTGCATGGACACTTGCACTTACACACACACACAGACCCCAAATCACGCCCCAGAGTCACTCACAGACGCACAAACAGATGTACATGTACACACACACATACCCAGGTCACTCAGATACACACACACCTGAGTTACTCACAGACAGACATACAGATAGATACAGATGTGCATACACACATACACTCAGGTCGCGCAGATAGACATACACAGACACACGTACAAACACACACACACACACACAGTTACTCAAATACACACAGATGTGCACATACACATCCAGAGTCACTCACAGACACACAGATTGACCCAAATAGGCAGACACACACATACCCAGGCCCCTCAGACAGATATACACACATCTGTGTGCACACTCACACGCCCAGAATCAGCTCATCTTGGGAGACGGCCGGAGTGGACCCATGAACCCAGTTCACAGGTGCGGAGCCTGAGCCCAGGCAGGACGAGTGATCTGCCCAAGACCATGCAGTGTATTAATTCACGTCCAGGCAGGGAATGCAGGTGGGCCTCCCAGGCAGGGCAGTTCTGTGAGAAATCCCCAGCCAGGGGTCTAATTCAGTACTGAGCACGTACGAGGCCCCCATTCAACCCCAGACAGGGATGAGTCCGTGGTGGAGCAGACGGCATGCGGGTGCAGATACCCCAGATCTCTGGGTCTACACTGCTATGTGTGCACATACACACAGTTGCATATACAGTCATCTCAATAAGTAATCACGTGCCATCCTGCATGTAGTCTTCCCTCCATCACAACCCCCTCCCTCATCTCCTTTGCCTTGCTCATAACTACTCAACCTTCACATCTCAGACCAGACGTCCCCTCCTCCAGGAAGCCCTCTCTTACACCCCACTGGGTCAACTGGGCTCCCATGGCTCCCTGTGTCTCCAGCATCACACCCCTGACCCCTCTCCCCGTGCCTCCTCCACTGTCTGGCAACAGGTCTGTCTCCCCCGACTGGGAACTCTAGGAGGATGGACCCGAAACTCCCTTTTTTAGTTGTATTTCCAACGCCCAGCATAGAACTGCTCAGTAAATATATGTTGTTGAAGGACCCCAGGGATCCCCCCGCACACGGATGCAGAGAGGATGGCCCACGTCAAACCAGGACTCATCGCCACACACACTCACGAATGTGACACACACCAACACTCACGCCTATAAGGCCGCAAACGAAACCATCACGCAGTACTGACGCTTGCGATGTTCCAGGCCCTGTGTTAAGCATCTACACACATTGCCTCATTTAACCGTCCCATCAACACTGCTGGGAGATGACTATCATTATGCACAGATAGACACATTTTACCAAATGAGCCAGCAAATACAAATCATCTTGTATGGTGCCTGGCGCCCAACATCCACTCGGTGAACTGATACCTGATACATTTTCGGGCGGTGATAAATGCCATAAAGGAAAGACAAAGCAGGGCCGAGGGGACTGAGAATGACGGGATTGGTTGCCAGTTTGGACAGGGAGGTCAGGGAAGGCCTCCCTGAGGAGGTAACATCTGAGACAAATGAAGTGAGGCAGTGAGCCAAGAGGTCATTGCCAAGGCGAGCCCACAATGGCATACACACATGACAGGCACACTCGGAGGACTCAGAACTACCACTCACACACACTCACACACACACGTGCACAGAAACTCACACACACTGAAAAGTCCTGCAATTCAGTGTTCCCAGCCCTTTGCAACCCCCACCCAAGAAGCCCACCCACTGATCCTCCATATAAGAGCTTGCTACCAACACCGGGGCTCCATCCTCCCCGCCCCCCAGAGCCCAGAACACTGCAGCACAAATGAGGGGGGAGATGAGAAGCCCCCAGGTGTCTGGAGTGGAAGGGAAGGGGAAAGAGGAGCTGAGGGTGGGGACCGGACCCACGGTGGGAAAGGGGGAGCTGCTGAGGTACAGAGTGAAAGCAAGTAAGAGGAGACAGCTAAGGAGGAAGGGCAGGGCAGGCAGAGGGCGCTGGCCCCAGGCCCCTTACCTGGAGCCCCCATGCTGGAGTGAACCATGCTGCCCGCCCCGCAGGGCTGGGGGAACAACTGTGTCATCTCCCCGCCCTCTCTGGGGGCCAAGCCCTCTCAGCCGGAAGTCACCCAGGGAGGAAACCACAGGGTCCGCCCCCTTCAGAAGGGAAAATACTCTGGCCCAAAGGCCCACCTCAGGAGGTGGCGGACCCCAAACCATGTGTGTGTTGGGGAAGTGGGGGTAGTGGGGCACCCGATAAACAGAGTCTCTGGGAGGTGCTGCAACAGCAGCCCCAGCCCTCCAGCTGCCTCCACCAAGGCAAACACATCTGCAACAGGGCATATGGGTCTGGGAGAGAGGGTGGGCCCATGACAACAACAACAACAACACTAAACCCTGGCTAGAAGTTTTTTTTTGGGGGGGGGCTTTCCCAATGCCAGGCTTGACAGGCGCACTTGACAGGCACCATCTCTTGAGGTGATCACTATTTGCCCCGCTTTACAGACGAAAAGACTGAGGGCCAGAGAACTGAGGTGGCCTTTCCGAGGGCCCAGAGCCAAGAAGTGATGAAGCCAAGAAGCAGAGCGGGAGGAGACGTTTGTGGTGGGCGTCCTGCAAGGCTGTGGGAGGGGAGGTACCCAGCCACGCACCTGTCCCCAGGTGACGGGTCCGTCCGCTGAGAGGAAGCGGTGCCCGTGGGCAGTGGCAGTGCGGGCGAGGGGGCGGGGCCTTGGCCCAGAGTGGCAAGACGTCCACCAGGGGGCAAATGCGGGCGCCCGAGGCGGTTCGGGTGAAGGGAGCCCCGGGTCCCCTGACTGCCCGCAGGCCTTTCTCAGAATTGCGTTCCCGGCCCAGTATTTCCCTCCGCGCCCGCCAGAGGGCGGCAGCGCCCAGCCAATAGGCCGGAGGGCGGGGCCGGCTGCGGAGGAGAAAGCCCCTCCCTCCGCTCCCCTCCCCGCCCCCCCCGCCCCCGCGCGCACACCTGCGAGGGTCACACAAAGGCGCAGGACTCCCCGCGCACGGCGGCGCAGACAAAGGCGCGGCCGAGTCCTCTGCCCTCTTCCTCCTGCCCGCGCCCGGTCCGAGGCTGTCAGGCCACCTGGCGCCTCCAAACAGCCCGCCGGCCCGCGCTAGGCCCCGCAGGACTCGCCGCGCCCACGCTGAGAGACACCCCCAAACCACACGCGCGCACACGGACACCTGGACTCACCCAGACAGACACATACACTCAAGTATTTACACACATGGGCCCCAGAACTTCACACACACGTGTGCACACGCAGACACACGGGAACCCTCCTCTATGTGCCCAGGGTCCAACACCAACCCTCTCTACCCACCATCCGTGACTCCTGTGTACAGAAACCCCTCTGCTCCCTCACGTGGGCACAAGGGCACATCTACACGTGTGTGCCCAGGCGCGCCTCCGGCCATGTGTGCCCATGCTCACACCCATGCCCACTCGGGCAGGACAGAACACACAGGCAGACCTTCATGAGTGCCCTTCCTTCTGCACACAGGCCCTGTGCACCCAGACACGCCCAGGCAGGCAGGCGGGCCCACTCACTGGGGATGACCGGCACATTTTACATCTGTACACAGAGGGGACAGTTCCCAGCCATCTACACTCCACAACATCCCATTTCATAACAGCTGTTTCAATGAGGAGATCCAGAGACCACACAGCATCAACCCAGCTTCAAATCAGACCTCCTGCCTCCTAGTCCACCCCATCTCTCTTTCAGATGCAGGGTTTCTGTACATGAGGGCTTTCCGGACAGCAGTCTGGCTGGTGGCAGTGAGTACTGGAGTCTTGTCTTGACCCTGTAGGTTCTGTTTTGATTTAGGATTTATATCTTGAGGGGCTTGGAAATTAGGGTCCCCAGTACATTATGGGGGGCCAGAACCCTACCAAGCCACCCCTGTGGTCCACCATGACATAGTCAACGTCATCCATGTCAAGTACACGCTTTTGGACATGACTGGGTGTCAGCCCCTTAGGGTGAGCACGAAGAGAAGTACCACCCATTTCTGGCACTGCCCTCCCAGGTCTGTAGCTGAGTGGGGAAATGAGGGAAGGCCTCAAGCCCTCCCCCAAGGGATAAAATCGCCCTACACCTCTTGCCTCCCAGGCTGACTGAGTCCCTGAGCTGGAGTCAGGAAGTGAAAGAAGAATGGGTCTGAGATGTCTGCCTGCTGGGAGAGGACAGAGGGGACAGGGTTTGGGGCCACTGGGTGGGGAAGGCCTGGCAGCCAGGAATGGGAGGCCCAGGCAGGGTGGGTGGTGGCCTCTCAGCCAGAGAAGAGGCCTCAAGCCATGTTGAGCAAGGCAGGTAGAACATGGGAGCTGGGGAGCAGTGGGGGCCTCTCGGGGTGCGGGGAGCCTGGGAGGGAGGCGGTGCAGGGGAGGCCAGGCTGGGCTCAGGGCTGAGCGGTAATTAAAGGAGACGTAGGGGGCTCCCCAGGGCCAGCGGGGCTGGTAACTGACACGCGGGCCCCATTGCTCTGCTCATATTTCTCACCGGATCGATACGTTTGACTCCCGACAAGACAATAATCGCTTGTACGCGGCCGGCGAGTCGATCAAATACATTATTAGAGCGAGGTCCCCCGGGGGCCCGGCGGGGAGTGGTGGGGGGGAGCAGCCAGCCCACCGGGGACAGCAGAGTGGGATTCTTCACCCCTCAGGGCCCCCAACCATGGCCTCTTCCTCTCTGTTGCCTCTGGGGACCCTCTCTGTGGCTTGGTTCCCCAGCTTCTTTCAGGATTCCCACTGTCTCTGGTGACCTCTCCACTCAGCCCCCAATACGTCCCTGCTCTGTGTGGGGACCCAAGGGGTCTTTCTCCACAAGTGCTGCCTCATCTGTAGGGCTGCGTGTGTGGGAGCTCAGAGAGGCCCCTCAGACCCCCAGCTTGGCAGGAGATAGGGAGACAGGGATGCAGGCCACACTGAGTCAAGAGCTGGGCCAGGAGAGGAACTGGTGATTCATTGATACCAACCTTCCCCTGCATCTCAACAGTTGGCCTTCAGCAGAGAACAGGCTGAGCAGCCTTTGGAAGGCGGGGGGAGGGGGGTTGTCAGGGAAAACTGGCTTAGGGACCCAAACACATAGGAAAACAGGATAAGGAGTGGCAGACAGATGCAGAGACAGAGAGGTGTCTGGCTAGTCCTACTGCAAGGCCGTCGTCCAGTGGGCCTCAGATACTCTCGAACCAAACCGAGCCTCGTCCTACCCTGGGCACTGTTTGCCCACCTCTTCCCCCATCTTCCTGGTGTCTGGGCTTGAGTCTTCATTTTCTGTTTACACACCTGCTTCACCCTCCACCCTGCCCTCAAAACTGCTTCTCCAGTGGCCATAAGTCAAGGTCAAGCTGCAACCACCCCATGATCTGCTTCGGAGCACCCAGCATCCAGGGACTTAAAAATATTTCTTCTTCACCATCATCATTGCCACCAGCAGCAGCAGCAGCAGCAGCAGCAGCAACTCTGTCTACTTTGTGCTCGTTGAGCCAATACATTATTTCTAATTTTCATGACAATTTGAGAAAGTAAGGTCTATGATCATCTCCATTTTACTGATGAATTAGAGCTCAGAGAGGTGAAGTCACTTGCCCCACATCACACAGCATGTGAATGATGGAGTCAGGATTCAAACCCAGACCTGTCCTCCCCACAGCTTGCTCTCTCTCTCTACTGCATCATGGCCCTCCTTCGAGCTTTGAAATGCTCCCCGTCCTCCAGTGGACAGCAGGAAGCCCGCTCAGGAGCACCAAATCCCATCACGGCCCACAGCCCCACTCCCGCAGCCCTTAGTCTTGATATTCAACAATGCAGTGGACTCCCTCTGACTCATCAGCTCCTGGCTGAAGGTAGGCCATCCCTTCCATGTCCTTCGATTCAGACATTTCCTGCGTGTCCCCTGGTGCCAAACCCTGGGCTGGGGCTGAGGACCTAGAGATGAGCTGGGCTGAAAGCTGCCCAATAATCTGATGGAAGACAGAGGGCAGTGTGGTACAGAAGGCTTGTGAGGAGGTGGCATTTATACAGCAGTCGGGTCTTCTTGAGGCAAAAATGTGGGGAAGCGCACTGCCGACAACAGGAACAGAAAAGGTGGGAAGGGAGGCGCGGATGGCTTGGTAAAGGGCAGACAAGGCGGATAGAGGAGACAAGGTGGAGAGGCAAAGCCAGACCCCAGGGCCTTGTAGGCCAGGCAAGCATTTTGGATTTTACTGCAAGCACAGCGGGATGCCACCGAGAGGGTCTTAAGCAGGGAAGTGATGTGGTTCTGTGAATGTTTTGTGGACAATTCAGGCCACTGTGGGAGGCCAGAATGAAGGGCTGGAGTGTGAGGGAGGTCAGCCATGAGGAAATGGGTAGTGTCCACGTGAGATGGAGGGGATGATGGCTGGGACCAGGGTGGTGGGGGTGGGGGAGAAGGAACAGGTGTTCCTAGAAGCAATTTTGAGAGTAGACCCAACAGGATTGGTGATTTGCTGAAGGTGGGGTGGGTGGGAGTGGGGGGAGGAGTCAAGGATGAAGCCCAGGAACGCAGAAGTACCTTTCCCCACCTTCGAAAGGTTGAAGAGAAGGGAGACCTCAAGCTGGGATGAGAAAGATCTGGGCAGGGTGCCATACATGCCTTGAGGCTGGATTTGATGTTGTAGGTGGAAGACTTTTGAGCAGGGACAGTGAGATCTATGGCATGAGGACAGGCTGGTGGGTGGAATCTGGAGACAGGATGTGCAGAGAGAAGACTGGGACAATGGGCGAGATGACAGGGAGGTTGGAGCCATGAGGGTCCACGTTCATGCGAGATTCTACAGGACTCTTGTGGGCCTGTAGGTGGGCGACTGGGCATGTGGCTGGGTAAATACTGAGACCATCACCGGTAGACAATGGGAAGGAAAGCAGATGCCCAGGTCAGTGCTGGGGGCAAGATCGGGAAGAGGCGTGTCAGAAGCAGCGAGGTCTATGGACCAGGAAGCCGGCAGATGCTTAATAAATTCACATGGACACAGCATTCCTTGCTGTATCACCCTCAACCTCGTGACGCCAATTTCCGAAAACCTGCCAGAATTCCCAAGAGTTCACCTCAAGT